GGAATTTCCTGGAGATTTGGGGAGGACGTAGGAGAACAGGCCTGGGGAGGACAGGGACCTCATTGGGGTACGATGGCCACAGAGCCCACCCTGCAAAGCATCCATTTCCTCCAGGGGAACTGATCTCTGTAGTCTGGAGATGAGCTGTAATTCCAGGGGATTCCCTAGGCCCCACCTGGAGGCTGGCATCCCTATGTAACCCTAGACCAGCAGCCATCTTTCAGCCTAGCTGACCTCAAAAGATCAGTGTGAGGATAAAAATAGGTAATGATCATATTGAGATGGGCATGGTTATGCAGATCCAGGGAGTGGAAACAAAAACATTTTTCACTGTCATGTGGGCAGCTGCTTCTCCCGCAACTGGCTTCTATTAGTAAAAGGCAGGGGATGGGGCAGACCCCTTTTCCATGCTGTTTTGGCCTTTGAGGGAGGACTTATGGAGCCAGGCCTGGCAGCAACCATTGGCAAGCCTGGCTTTGGTAGCACATATGCCAAAATTGGAACGAATGCGTTGGCTAGTTCCAGATTAGGATGTGAGTATAAAATGGATGAGAAGAGAATGATGTAAACAGCGTTGACTCCTCGTTGAGGAGAAAGGCAGGGCATAAATGAAATAACAAATATACCTTAAGACAGGGGTGTCAAACATAAGGCCTGGTGGTGAGAACCAGCCCATCCAGGGCTCTTATGCGGCCCGTGAGCAACTAGTGCAAGGCAGGGAACAGGAGGCTCCAATTGTGGCTTCAGCATGGTGGAACAGCCTCATCTGCAGCAGTCAAGCAGTGAGGGAGCATCTGCCCAGTGCCGCACTGCTGGCTCCCCAGGGGTTTTCCTTTGAACCCCCCTCCCAGCCCATGGGGCCTTACAGTGAGGATGCAACAGCTCAGAGCCGACCAGCTGCTGTCCTTTATAAAGTTTCTATCTCCGGTGCCTGGCATTATGTTTTATGGCACACATGGTCTGGCCAGACAAAGTGACATTTATGTCAGATCTGGCCCTCGTAAGAAATGAGTTTGACACCTCTGCCTTAAGATGGGGAACAGATTAAATGTAGGCGGATGGGTAGGTGAGAAGGACGCAGGGAAAGGTAAGGATATGGGGACTGCCAGGAGGAGAGAGAAAGGAAATAGTGTGAGAAAGGGAAACAGGGACCACTCACAAGACCTTGGAGGTTCCCTACCATACAACCAGGCCTAGCCTGGCAGCTGGCACCACACAACTGGGCTAAAGTTTTCCTGGGTAGAGGCTGCCAGGGAAGGGAAGGAGGGAAAGAGGAAAAACTGAACAGATAAAGGAAGTGGCTGGTGAGTGGGAAGGCAAGAAGGAGGAAGGAAATGGTGGGAGGCTATGGGGGCTTTCAGGGAAGGCAAAGAGGAAATAGTGGGGGAGAAAAACAATTAAATGCTACCCCACAGGTCTTGGCAGGTCCCCTGCTTCTCTCCTGCTGTCATTAATTGTTTTCCTCTTCCTCAGGGCCTGGACACCAAGTTTGGACTGAGAAACCAGTTGGGCAGACCCAGCTTGCCATCTCCCCCACCAGCCCCACGGCTCTGCCTGCCACGATTGCCTCTGTGCCATCTGGGAGGGTATGGAAGGAGCAGTAGTCATGGGGGAGGGAGAGAGAGGTTGGCACTTTTCACACGCGCACATACAACTTAGTTTGTTGCGTCGGGGACGCTTCTATTGTCAAGATCACAGGCAGCAAATAATCGCCGAGTATCTGTAAATGGTATAGATTATATAGACTGAAGCACCAGTTTTTACTGTATTTAAAAAACGTATTTTATTGTTTTAGTATTTGTATGCTGTTAGCCGCCCTGAGCCACTGGGTAGGGTGGGATAGAAATCCCATAATAAATAAATAAATAAATAAATAAATAACTTGATAGGCCTTTAGTTAGCATAATAACAACAGTTGCCACACTTTCTAGGCCTAAACTCCTACATGAAATCAAGAGTGGGAAAGTTGCAAAGAGAGCATGGATCTAGTCAAGCCTCCTGCCCTGAACAAGGGGAGTGGGCCTTTCTGGAGCTGGGATGCTTGGGAACATAGCCCAAGCAAGTGTTAAACTCATCACCCCCACTGGAGCATGTGGCTTGCAGACTAGCCTTTGCATAATAAAAAATGCAATAACTGGGAGGTGGGGGGGGGCTAAGGATCTATATACTAATACCGAAGTCGCCCCTGGTGTGCGGATAGATAAATCCGCACATCGGGGGGACCTGGGGGGAGGGAGAGGTTTGTGCGCACGTGGGGCGGTCCCCACGTGTGCACAAAAATCCTGAATCTTGAAAAAAACTTCGGGGGGATGTTTAAATCCCCCCGAAACTCACAGAGCGTCCCCTGCGCATGCGCAGGGAATGCTCTGCGACCGTCTCAGATGCCGCCGCCGCTGGGAAGGTAAGCGGCGAGCCAGGAGGGGGGGAGGAGAAAAAGCTCGCTTCGGAGCCGGGGGGGGGAGGAGAAAGAGCCACGAGGGAGACGAGCAGCTCAGCCAGTGATCTGACTGGCCAATGCCCTTCCCAGCAGCCACACAAAAGAGGATGCCTCTGTTATTCTTTGCGCCAGAGAAGGCACTCGGGGAGAAGTGGATGCGCGTCCGTGGAACTCATGGGGGAGACGGCGAAGCTCATGTTGGATGAGGCGCGTTGGCAGCTGCTATTGAAGGGGGTGTGTGGTCTCCTGGTTCCTTTAAGTTTTCCGCCCCGGTTAGGCTTTAAGTGGCGATTCCTGCCTCCAGCCGGGCTCCGCCCAGCCTCGAGGAGCTTTCCTGGCCGAAGGAGTGCGTCATAAGTGTAGGAAAATGGAAAGTCAAGAGTTAACTGGAAGAGTTAACTCCACCCCTCTGGAGCCGCTTTTACTGCTTTGTGTCTGTGTTAAGTTGGACGTTAGTTGTGATAAAGCAGTTGCCTGACATTGAGCAACTCTCTGCGTGCTCGGTTCGGAGCCGGGGGAGGGAAGGAGAAAGCGCCCAGGGCAAAGCGCCCAGGCAGGCGAGCGAGCAAGGAGGCCTTATCTCCCTCATGGAAGGCCGGCCTCCCAAAGCTACACACCCCCACAACTGACCAGGGGCGTCGGGAAGGCGCAGCCCCCTCCCGTGGCCGCCCATGGTCCCTCCTTCTAGGCTCCAGCGCACCGAATCCTCTGCCGAGGCCCCGCCTGAGGGAGGCAAAAGTGACAGAGCGCCTCTTGCTCTCCTGGCCCTACCTCAACGTTGTCGTGAGGATCAAATGGCCTTTGGCCTTCAAGTTGTGTGGAAAGGGATAAGGCACATTGTCCGCCCTGCTAGGAATGGGTGTGAAATCACAAGAACTTGGGGGTTCTGGGGGTGCCTGAAGGAGGCCTCCCTTTCCCACAAGGGGAGCCTGGAAATCGGGAGGCCGTCAGGATGCAAGGGCGGGGAGGGGCGGCAAGAAGGTGGCTGAGGGGTGGTGCTCAGTCCCCAAAGGGACGCAAAATTAACTGGGTAGGTTAAGTCCCCTCTTGAGCAGGGATTTTGTGCCTGTGTGGTGGGTACATAGCAACCAAAACTGGTTCCTGGAGCATCCTCCAGTGTTTGTTTGTTTTAAAAAAAACCACACCCTTAACAATTAATAAAACAACAATACATCGAAACTGTAACCCAGGTATGTGCAGAATGGATTTGCAAAATGTCAGCTCTGCCTCCCTCCCCACCCTCGCGCGAGTATCGCGGGTCCACCTCTTGTTATTGCTAACCCTCAACATGAGTTCTCCCATGCCAGCAGGTAATTCCACTGAAGATGTATGCTGTCATCCCCTCCCCCCCCCCCAGCATATTGAAACACATCTAGTAGATAGAAAAAAGCAGCCTGTGGTTAAAAAACAAACACTGAATGCATAAATGGCCATTTGCCTCTCTCCCCGTTTAATCAACACAAATCAGTGTGGAGATACCATCCGTGCTGAAAAAGGCATGCATCCCTTTGCCAAAATCATATGGCCCCAAATAATCATGTGCTCTGCCGTGCTCACAAATAGCTTTATCAGATGCTTTTACCCTCTCTGTTCTCATGCCAGGAGGCAAGCAGATAGCATGCTGCTTGTGACTCTGGCTTTGGTAGAGGTGAAGGGTTAAATGTGAAATTCAGAATAAGTTTCTCAAAGCAGGTCCCACACTAGACAGCGCCAATCCAAATCCAAAGTGGCATGACCTATTGGCGCAACTCCAGAGTGGGGGAGGAAGCAAATGTGAATCCAGCGAAATGACAGTCTTATTTAGTATCTCCTCCTCCCATTGTGGAAGCTTGCATGAATGGTGAAAAGTACGCAAACAGAGAGTGATTTCAGCAACACGTACTTTATTCTATCCGGAACAAGACAACTTTGGCCGGCTCGCAGGCCAGCTTATATCCCCCGAGAAACTGCCACCCAAAACACACCCCTACTTCCCTATAGGTTATTTACAGTGGCCGAGAGTCCCATAGGCTCTCGGCCAGGAACCTAGCCCCCTGATTGGAGCGGGCTAGGATCCACATAGTCCATTGTCTCTTGGAGCGAAGCTCGACGTTTGTCTCTGGACTTGTCTGGACTGGATACATTACAAATGGCTACTCCATTTCCAACATGGTTAGAAAGACATCAAAGCAAAGATGTTCAATTCCCTATTTTGTCAAGGTTGTTCCATGTGTGTCTCCCATTTAAATTGCAACCTTCCTGATAGGAATTCTAAATCTACATTGTGCACATGCAGCTCAGCGTGTATATAACTTTTCCCAAGGTTTCTGTGGTGCTTGTAGGAAGGCTCTCTCTCTATACAGAATTCCCATTGCAATAGCTACTTTCTGTGAATGCATTATATATATAAATATACATACATACACACACACACATTGCAGCCAGGGCCAGGCAATTTCCCTTGTCAAGAGTTAGAGCGAGGCGAACAGAGGTGTAGTAGTAGGGCATGCAGGGGGTTAGTCTCAAGTGCAGCATTTCATGCACGTTGGTGCTTGGAATCGTAGAAAGAGACTGGTATGCTTACAATGAGGCCAGCCCAATATGGAGTGTCTCTGCCCAGCACGGAAGAGCTGATGCTGGCCATGAGGAAGCCCAGCACTGTGACGGAGGCTCCTAAAGCCAGCTGCAAGAGGGCAACCAGTAACGGGAAGCGGCAGCCGCAGCACTTGTGGGCGTCCTCCTCCTGGCCCGCGCCGGGATCCCTTTTGGGCGGCTTCTTGGACATCGGGGCGGCTTCGGGCTCCTTCCTCTGCTCCGTCCCAGGTCCTGCCTGGCTCAGGTTGTTACGGGGCGGGCTGCTTGAAGCTTTCTTCTCTTCTTTCCCCATGTTGAAAGGACTTTTGGAGGGAAGGGGGGACTGGAAGGGCGCCTGCGTTTTGTGCTTGCTCCCTCGCTGCCCAGCGGCACTCCCCTTTTGTGCGGGCTGACTCGTTTCTGGTATTTGCAGTGAGGAGGATGAACTAATATGGAAAACATTTGGAGCAGATTGCTGGAGCTTCCAGGCGCCACATATAGCCCAGCTGAGAGGGGGAAATGAGGGGATAGCGGACGGGCAACACGCAGAAGAAGAGCGCCCGGCCCGGGTGCTGTGTTGGGGGAGCCAGGGAACGCTGCACGGGACCAGTGTTCCCTCTAAGCTGAGTTACTGTGAGCCAGCTCACAGTTTTTTAGCCTCCAGCTCACACGTTTTTGTCTTAGCTCAGGGAGGATGGCTCCAGAGCAAAGTAATTTATGCAGCAGCCAAATTGCTTGCTCACAACTTTAATGCCAGTAGCTCACAAAGTAGAATTTCTGCTCACAAGTCTACTCCACAGCTTAGAGGGAACATTGCACGTGACTGAGCCCATCTGGCATTTCAAAAGCGAGAATGCTGCTCTTATGTGCGGCTGGCCTTCCCTCCATGGAGGCTGCATCCTCATGATGCTGTTTTGGATCCAGTCCTGCTGCAAGTGCAAAGCCATTCATACTATGTGTTCACTTACGTCATTCGTACTCGCATTCCCCTACAACGGAGACCCAAAGCAGTTCCCCTTGTCTCCATTTTATCCTTTCAACAATAATCTGGTTAGGTGGAGATACAGTAGCTAGCCCGAAGTCACCCAGCAAGCTCTCAAGGTAGAGTGGAATTTCAGACCTGGGTCTCCCAGACCCTACTCTGACACTCTGATCACTACACTGTGCTACTGGCAGTGGAGCAACCACCTGGGAGATTTCTGTGTATTTTCTTCAATCAGATGCCATTCCCCCTGCATTTTGCCCCCGGTGTGCCACCCAAGGCTTTTGGAGGGTCTTAAAACAATCAGTACTTGCTGTGTTGTTCAGTCGCACAGTCGAGTCCGACTCTTTGCGACCCCATGGACCACATCACGCCAGGCCCTCCTGTCTTCCGTCATGCTTCGGAGTTTGCTTAATTTCATGTTCATTGCCTCAATAACACTGTCTAACCATCTCATCCTTGTCTTCTTTGACCTTCAATCTTTCCCAGCATCAGGGTCTTCTCCAGTGAGTGCTCCCTTCACATTTGGTGGCCAAAGTATTTGAGCTTCAGCTTCAGTATCTGGCCTTCCAGGGAACAGTCAGGGTTGATTTCTTTTAGGATTGACTGATTTGATCTCCTTGCAGTCCAGGGGACTCTCAAGAGTCTTCTCCAGCACCATAGTTCAAAAGAATCTATTCTTCGGCTCTCAGCCTTCCTTATAGTCCAACTCTCGCAGCCATACATGACTACTGGGAATACCATTGCTTTGACCATGCAGACTTTTGTTGGCAGGGTGATGTCTCTACTTTTTATTATGGCCCCACTGGTGGACCTCCTGATGGCACTGGTATTTCTGGCCACTGTGTGATACAGAGTGTTGGACTGGATGGGCCTTTGGCCTGATCCAACATTGGCATCTCTTATGTTCTTATGTTCTTATGCTGTCTAGGTTATATTTAAAATTGTTTTCCTGGTTAAAGACCTGGACAACATACATAGTAATATTTCCCCCCCCCCGGCCATTTTTGTACCATTTCTTCTTCCACCTGTGACCTTTCAGCACCCCCCCCCATACTTTAACCACAAACGTATGTTGATTCCTCACACCTGCTGTTAGGCAGGGAGAGAGCAACTGGCAGGCGGAACCCAGCAAGCTTCATGGCACAGCAAAAAAGCAGAAGGGGCCTATTAATTCCAATCAAAGAAGAAAATGCAGGTGAACCCACAACCTGCTCTGTAGCTGTGCCTCAAAAAGAAGAAGAGATTGGATTTATACCCCGCCCTTCACTACCCAAAGGAGTCTCAGAACGGCTTACAAATTCCTTTCCCTTCCCTTCCCCACAACAGACACCCTGTGAGGTAGGTGGGGCTGAGAGAGCTCTGACAGAAACTGCTCTTTTTTCAAGAACAGCTCTTGTCAGAACTATGGCTTGCCCAAGGTCATCCAGCAGGTGCTGGAGAAAAGTTTCCAGGTGATGGTTCTCTCCAGACCAAGGCTGTGTAAAGAATTAGCTGCCCGTCCCCTTTCTTCCCCCACACTGGCATTCTTAATTTTATTTTCATAAAGACTCCATCAAGTAGGCTAGGCTGGGAAATAAGTGACTGAACCAAGGATGTCCCGCAATCTGTCTTTAGGTTTTGTTGTGATTGGGTGGGGGCATGAATTAAGTCAAATAATGTTTCACCAAAGATGAAGCTATTTTGGGGGGGGTAAGAGGTGGCACTGTGGCAGTGTTGTGAGAGTGAGTTTCAGTCATAAGTGTCAGCAAGGGAAAATCATTAGTGGTCCTGGTCACACGGGCCGCAAAATGCGCGGGGGGGGGGGGAAGCGTGGCAGTTTGGCCCAGAGCAAAATAACACGCGGCCACCTGATCACACGTCCCGTCGAGGTCCCGTGGGTAGGGGCAAGGTGGCAATCACACGATGATCCTGCAGCGCGTCCCATAGTCATCGGCAACCTGTGCTGCTCCACCGCAGAAGCGGAGTTAAAAGACACCGGGGAAAGTCCGGCTCTAACGGGTTCCAACAAGCCATGGATGGACTTTCCCCTGTCTGATCACGTAAGCACACTCTCATGCTGTCAGGATGGTCTGATCATGCCATCCCAGCATCATCGCATACTCGGCAGGGCCCTCAGTGCAGAGGTGTGATTCCTCGTTTATGCGCATGGGAAATAAACGGCCAAACCCCCCACCCAACTCACCTGCAGTTGCGTCTGATCACACAGTGACAGGCTGAGCCCGCAGCTACAAAGGGAGGTGTGATCTCGCAACTGCGTGTCAAATTCCTCTGGAGAAAATAGCCTCACTTGCCCTCTGCTTCAACTGGCACATGTGACTGCAGCCTCAGAGTGGTGTACAAACTCCTTTCCCCTCCCCTCCCCACAACAGACACCTTGTGAGGTAGGTGGGGCTGAGAGAGCTCTTTCAAGAATGGCTCTTTCAAGGACAGCCCTGACAGAACTATGGCTTGCCCAAGGTCATCCAGCAGCTGCAAGTGGAGGAGTGGGGAATCAAACCCGGTTCTCCCAGATTAGAGTCCACACACTTAACCACTACGCCAAATTTAACAACAACTGTGATTCAATAATGTGTAGGAAAAATGAGCACAGTAGAGGTAGGAAAACCTAACGCATCTGACTATACTGTCCTAGCCTTCTCTAGGTACTTGGTCTCAGACTGACTCACCTCTTTTGGATGAGGGATCCTTCCGTCTACAGCAGCCTCACCAGTTCTGCTCCCTGGGAGTAAACACCCTCCTCCCACTTTGGGCAAGGCCTTTTATTCCTTCTTCCCAGGCACCACTCTCTACTCTGCTGGAGTACGTTTTTCCTCCACATCCCCTGTTAACCAATCACAGGGTCCAAAGGATCCCTGGGAAATCTAAGCCCTGATAGTTATTCTAGTACCGGCTTCCTTGGAGCCTGTAGGCTGTACTACTATAAGCCCATGATCATGACACTCCCCTTTTTGAACTCTGAAGTTTTTCATACCTAGCACTGACTTTCCCCTTCAACTATGGCATCTTTGGGGAAGGGAAGACGACATGGTTATAGCCTGATCTCATCCAATCTGGGAAGCTAACCAAAGTTGATACTTGGATGAGAGACCACTAGTGTTACCAAATGGAGATCTCCTGGGATTACAACTAATCTCCAGGTGACAGAGATCAGGTCACCTGGAGAAAAGGACCACTTTGGAAGGTGGGCTCTATGGCATTATACCCCATTGATGTCCCTCCCCCCCCCTCAAACCCCACCCTTCTCAGGTTCCATCCCCAAAATCTCCAGGCATTTTCCAACTACTCTAACTTACTGAAACTAGGATCCTATGTAATTTTCGTATCATTTAATATGTCATGTTAAGACTGTATGCTGTTTCAGTTCAGATGACTGGTTGGTTCAACAACCCTAACTGTATTGAACTGTTTACTGAATACCCTTACCCTGTCAATTGTATTGACTCACTCTGTGTAATCGATTTGAACCCAAGTGAGAAAGGTGGACTATAAATTATGTAAATAAATAATAAATCTGAAGCTGGTAATCCTAGAAGACTCTGCAGAGTAAGGCAATGGCAAACCACCTCTGCTTCTTACTTGCCTTGAGAACACCTTGCTGGGGTTGCCATAAGTCTGTTGCACCTTAAGTGCACTTTCATCTGCGGCATCCTGGCCCCACAGCTTGTTATCAGACCCCAGAGGAGTCACTGTAACTCCTACCAATTTTTTTCAGCAGCTAGCCAACTGCTGGGGATGGAAGCGCAACCTGTCTCAACATCACCTTCTCTGAGACACCCCCCCCCCCGGCCGCCAGAGAAAGAATTGCACCTGCCTCACCCCAGACTGTTGGGCTGTGTCAGGCCAATGTGGGAAAGAATTCCTTTTGCAATCCCCTGAGGTCACTAACACAAGATTCATTTTACCTTAATTGTGAAATTTTATTGTGATTAATTGCATTTCACCTACTTCCTACAAAACACTCAGGCTGCGGTCACACATGCCAGTTGAAGCGGAGGGCAAGTGAGGCTATTTCCTCCGGAGGAATTTGACACACAGTTGCGAGATCACACAGCCCTTTGAAGCTGCGGGTGCGGTGGCACATTGGGTATATCCCACTGTCTTAACATCCGAACTGTGTCAGTTCGAGCCCCGCCCTGGTGTGAGCAGCCAGCCTGTTGTCCCCAGCTCATCGTCCACCCAGCCATTCGAAAGCCTCAGCGAGTAGATAAAATGGGAACCACTCCTCAGAGAGGGTGGGCGCACCAACTCCCCTCTGGGAAGGTGTTAGCTGTCGGTTGGGGACGTCCTGGTCCAGGATCTGGAAGGTGGAAGAATCTACTCGGCTACGAAAAATCCCTGCAGTGGGAGGCCCCGGCCAGGTGGTGGCAGTGTGGTGACACGACATACGGGTCCTGAAGCCCCAACGTCATCAAGCCGGTCGATGCAGCCGTTCAGGACATGACTGAGCCAAGCCAGAAACGTTTCCACT